CGCGTTCTTCCCTTTACGGAAAAACCCTTCTTCCTGTGGCGAGGCTAATCCTCTCCCAAGTGTCCCCAAATAGATGCCATGAGGCACGCTGGCTAATACGTTACGCAAGTCAAGTGAACCCACAATTTTACATTAGCACTATCACATTTTATTTCACAAGATCTTAAAGCCTTATCTACTTCTCATAATTACTGTAAAAATTAACTTGCGATTATCACTTTTAACATCACCTAAATTCATTGCAGTTATTAACCATTTTTATTTTAACTCGTGAACTTCGCAGACCACTTACATTTTCTTAACGGAATATGAAGCTTCATAAATTTCGTAGCCGAAGCAAAATCCTAGATCTCTGCAACGAGAGAGTTCTGCTCCATCGGAGGCTGAGGTTTCGCCGCCTTTCGCCTGCTTCGATTTCTCGCCGAGCGCCGCCCCCTTACCGCTCCTGTCCCGCGCGCCGCCCCCAGCGGCCAACGCCCCCGCGTCGCCCTCTGACGTCATCGCGCTCGCCGCGCCGGGCCGCGACGCTGGAGGCTTCGGGATGGACTGCAAGGGCGGTCAGTACGTGGTTTTCCACGTTTGCAAAGTCGACAGAACGACCTTTTTGTTTTATGAAAGGGATTCGCTAAGAAGAAGCATTGATAATAAGTCCTCTGCAAACATGGGACATTGATAAGATTATCAGAGGCACTCGATACTTGCTTTTCCCAAAGTTTGCAGGTTCACTTCATATAAACTTGCATATTTCGTGCATCATTCATCTCCTGATGTACTGTTCGATGCGACAATACGTGAGGCAGTATTTGTAACAAAAAAATCGCTTTCTTTGACAAACTATTTGACCCTTTTTGTTGCTTCTCTGACTTGCCACACAGAAAAATGAATTAATTTTTTATTTTAAAATAGTAAATTACAAGCCGTATTGAAAAATATATGTGAATTATATGGATTTAATAAGTCAACTATTACAGAGAAGTCTGGCGTACGAACAAAATAAGGAATGAATTTGGAAAGGAGTATCCCAGACTTTCTTGTATGTGTATTTACGTACATTATTTTTAGCACTAATTTAGGCAAATGTATTGTAATATAATAGTTTTTGGATCATTCACAAAATACAAGTGCCATGTTGACTGAATTTATCCCAATACTTTATTTACTTTGCGGTATCCGACCCGCAAAATCCTTTTTTGCCGTTCGAGTACCACAAGGCAAAGATTTCCAAACAGTAAACACTGAACGCAAGTACTAGTCTTTCACACATGAGTGCCAATAAAATTGAAATTATTAAATTATTGAAATTATAACAATTATTAAAATTAACCTTGAAAGTTTTTTCACTTGTATTTTCATATGATTTCCTGAAACATATATCAATACTATTCAATTTTGTAACAATAATACTTACAATACAATAATTTTAACATCACTCAATTAGTGGTATCGATCCCCAATCGTATTTGATAAATATCACAACATATTTATTTACAACATTATACATAGTTTATGCTAATAAAAGGAAAATGTGAGGTGCAATTTAGAAACGAATCAGTAGATTCTTTTGCGTGTGCTTTGAGTAAATTTAATATGTTGTTGGTAATGTTACTCACCCACCACTGCCTGCGTCCCACCATCACCCTCTCTTATTCCCCCCCTTCCCCTTCGCCATCGCTCCCCGCGCGTGCGCAGTGGCCTCCGCCTTCGCCCAGGGCGCCGGCGGCGCGGCGGGGGCGTTGCGGAGAAAGTCGCTGACACTTTCGCCGTCGCGCTGCGTCAGCCGCCGTCGGGCAGCACGTGGGTGCCGCGACGCCTCAGCGCGACTATGGAGCGACCAAGAATCCACTCGATTTTCTTATGTTTTGTTTTATTCGCTTTAATTTGGAGCTTCGTAATTTCACGTCCTCGTTTATTTGTTTTTTTGTTGTTTTTTTTGTGCGTAAAATATACATAGTTTGAATTTAGTTTCTGACGATATAGTTGCATGCGTATAGTTATGTTGCCTCGTTTCGTGGTGTTATGTACGTAAATACATAGTTTCAATTTTGTTAACTTTAGATGTATATGACATTCGAAGACTACCCTCGATAATTTCCTTATTTGTTGGTAATACAATTCTTCTCTAACTAATCATGAGTCAATTTTCTATTAAAATGAATAAATATTTATGATTACTGCACAGGCGTATTAAGTTGAGAATTTAATTATATGAGCCTAAATTTAAACTAGTGGTGCTACAACGTTCTGGGATTATTTTTAAATTTACAACTTCCGAAAGTTCAGAGAGTCCAACGAAAATTAAACTCTGTCCATTCTAGGATGCATCCCTTCTAGCTGTTGAAAAAAGTTTATTACAAAAATTTGGAGTGGTTTTTGAGAAGAAAAAATTTATTATTTTAATTGTCTATATTTTGTACCTAATTACCTGAAGAACTTGGAAAATTGAACAGGAACGTATTTAAATATCCGTCTTTAAGAAACAGATATCATTATGGGAAAATCTCTATTTTCAACATTGTAGTTGTAGGAAGACTTCCCCCAAAAATTGCTCTTTTGCAATTTTCAAACAAATCTGAGATTTCAACGACCGTGAGACCTGCACCATTCTCTTAAAAAGTCCTTCTCACTAATCAACAAAATTTAATCAAAAGATTTGGGGCCATGACGAGCATGTCAGAATATATATCAGTCTACTTATTCATATTTTCTCAAGTGTCCCCTACTTGGGAGGAAGGGGGAATTGCCACTGTCGCATGTTGTGGTATCTGTTTACGTCATTGGAAATCCCTCATGGCTTTTCGCTTCTCAACTTTCTCCACACATAAGTTCCCTCAAAGAATGAAAGAAAAGAGTGAAAAAACTAATTGCATAAGTAAGAGATATGATCATACGTAATTTCTCTTTCATGCAAAGTATATTATACAAATGTCTCGGTTTGGATTGGATACATTTTACACTCCCTCGAAATGAGACATTATTTTCAAATTTCTCGAAAATTCTCGAGTTATATATTTTTGTTTCAAGCCTCAGAGTCCTTTCATAGATGAATGTCATAAGCAGCTCTTTCATAGATGAATGTCATAAACAGCTCTTTCATAGATAGATGTCATAAGCAGTTCAACATTGCTTCGAGACTGACGACATCTACAATTTGAGAATTAAAAATTATTAGTGGAGCGGATTTATCAAACGGATTAGTTGTAAATGTCTTTAATATCAGAAGTTAATCTAATTTTATGAATAGTATGCTGATAATTTACAACATGACGTGAGAAAGGAAAGAGAATTATGCATCCTGGCTTCATCAATGCTTCAATATTAATTTACCATCCCACTCTTACACCCTAAAATCAGATTTGTTGATATATAATATGAACGATACACTAGACAAAAATGAGGGGAACAGTATTTACAGTTCTTTCTGCAGCAATGTTTTTCGACATTCAGCACCATCGCACACCCCTATCTTACAATATGTTTGTAAGAAAATAGCGCGCCAATGGGACATTATAAAACCCAAGAAGTCGGCCTATGTATCAATGAATCTACCATTCTTCTTGCATTAAAAAAATAATTTCCTTGTTTATTAATACATAGGCAAGTAAAATGATGTACTATACATATGTTTTTGATTGCTAATTACTAACTTACATACCATGCTTAATCTAATACAAGAGTGAGGAAGCCAAATAGGCACCTCTATTAATTGACAATTTCAGCGCATCCGTCTTGATTTACAATCCTAGTTCCCGCCCACGCCGTTACTCTTGACCGCGCCTCACACAAGACGACGCCCTCTCGCGACGTCGGACTTTCGCGCCGCGCCAATCAAATCCGGTGGTAGAAATAGCCACGATGAAGAAACCAAAATTGAACAAACTAGATAAAAATGAATGGAACAAAATTTTTAACTCCTCCTGAAGCAATTTGTGAGACTTTCAACATCATCCCACACCCCATCTTACTGTTTGCAAATAAGTGACCTGCAGATAGGACATTAAAACGCAAGGAGTTAGTCATGTGTCAATGAAACTATCATTCTTCGTGCATTAAAATCCCCACCTAATCCCCACCCACGCCGTGACTCTTGACTGCGCTGCACCTAGAAGGCGCCATCTCGCGGTGTCGGACTTTCCCGCCGTAACACGCCGTCGAAATCCGGCGGTAGAAGTAGGTAAGATATGTTACCCAAAAATAAATGAAAAAATATTTAGAGCTCTCTCTCTCTCTCCCTCTCTCTCCCTGCTCTCTCCTCTTCGTCCCTTCTCTCCTCTCTCTACTCTTCTCTCCATCTCTCTCCCTGCTCTCTCTCGCCTCTCTTCTCCCTCGCTTCTTCCTCTGCTCTCGCCTCTCTCTCTTCTCTCTGTAGAATTTTTTGACATTTCAGCACCAACCTACACTCCGCTTTACAATATGCTCGTCAGTAAAGAGCATGCAGGTAGGATATCGTAAAACAAAAGGAGTTGGTCCACGTATCAATGACCCTATCATCCTCCTTGCATTGAAATCCTCATCCCCACCCACGGCGTTACCTCTGACCGCACCGCGCCCAGCGGACGCCATCTCACGGGCCGGACTTTCCCGCCGCGCCTCGCCGCGCCGTCCAAATCCGGCGGTAGAAAGCGCTCCCTGGCGGCCGGCCCACATCCCTTGCAGCGCGGGCGGGCTCGAACCCCGGGCGCGTGGGCGCGCGCGCCGGCGCCCGGGAGAGAGAGAGAGTGGCCGCGCCGCAGACGACGACCGCGACGCACCGGCGACAGACGCATCACGCGCACGCGCACGCACACGCGTGTCTCGCGAAGACATCCGTTAGGTTTCGAGTTTTTAAGTAGTTTTTTGGTGGAGTTGAGTAGCCTTTGTTTGAGCGCTGGTCACATTCTCATCACGCGTGGCCGAGGACTTTTATTCGAAGGGTCGTCGTGTGGTGGGTGATATTCGCGCGACAAAAGTCGCATCACGCGCTCGTCCATAAGTGATCTGGAAAGAATATTTTGTAGGTCGGAGGTTGGGCATTGTTGTGAGGGCGCCGGCGACAATTACGCACTAGGGTGGACACGCGTGTCCAAGAAAGAAAATTCCGCGGGTCAGAGATTAGCAGTCGTTGACACAACAGCCGAATGACGCACCCGCAGTTGGACACACAAGTCTAAGGAAGAAGTTTCGGAGGGTCGGAGATCTTTGGCGCCATGGCGCGCCGCGCTCTTCGATTGTCGATGTTCGTGCTGGCGCTCGCCTGCGCTCTGGCGGTGAAGGAAAGTGGCAGAGTGAAACGGCAGACAGTCGGCGGAGCAGGCGTTCTCAGGTGAGTGGAGCTGCGAAGAAAAGCTTGTTTTTTTTTACGGAAAAATTTGGCATCTTGAATCGTATAAGTAATGACTCGTACATGTCTCAATAGGCCTGTGTCAAGAGCAACGGAGACAGAGAGAGGCAAAAGTTCCGGAAGGATGTAATATTTTATACATATGTACCATTACTAGCGCGGAAATAAACTGAACGCCAGTGAATCGTGTGGCGGACGGGAGCTGAATGGCGTAGTTAAGAGAGACGATGTGGACCTAACGGGATGTATCAGGACGAGACGGGCTGTTTAGAGCGAGATGGACTGTAACAGTAATGATAAGGGCGGAGATGAATTCGGATGAGGAGGATCGGGGGTCTGAAGGTTAAAGTAATTTTGATCTTGTCTATAACGTAAGCCTTCGTTTTAATTAAAGTAATCACCGTTATTGAAGCTGTCGTAAATTTTGTGGTGTGCTGTAAGGTCATACGGTTTTCCAAGAAGTAAACAGAATATCAATTATGGCATTTCAAACACCAGCACATTCTCACGTAAAGATTAAGTATTGGAACGAAATATTACGTAATTTATTTCTGTAATGAAAGATATTTTGCTGTGAAGGTCTACTTTAAATATGATGTCCATGTGTAGTAACAAGAGAAAGAGACAATAATCGGGTAATGCGTCAATAAAGAGTAAGATCGGTATGATAGAAAATTAGTTTCGTTTGCGAGTGTCTTTTTCCCAGCAGAATAAGATGTTTTAATGAAAATTAATATATGCACTTCTCTATTTTTTCGCATTCACACAGTTTATTCTCAACTCTGAGTGGGAAATATACTGTGAAGGTCTCCCAATGGACAGTTGTCCTAGATTCCACTTCAGATTTCCCTTAAACAAGGGAAAGTATATAGCACTACACTCTAGGCTTTCCTTAAAAATTAGAACAAAATACAACTTCACATTCATGGCATACATTATTACTATTCTAAGGACAAATTATTTATGCATATAAAATGCACAGAATAAAATTCAACAATCTTTGTCACAAATCAAGTACTTAATTTGTTTCTATGCTACGTGAAAAGAATGACGCTCAACTTTCCCTGAATTTTCAAATTCAAAAGTTTTATGATCCCCAAACTAACTAAAATAGAGATCAGTTCCGGTTCGCGTCGTAGATTTTTCGTGAACATGTTTGTGATGAAACCTGACAAATGTTTAGTATAACAACGTCATGTACCGTTCTCTCTAACGCGACTGGGTTATAGGCGGCCACTGCATCGCACCTAACTGACAAGCGGCGTACTCGACTTACTGTCGCACTTCGAATCTCCTCTCCGATACTGACTCGATTTCGAAATGACTCCTATCTTCAGACTGGCGTTTTCTAAAATTGCGAGCAATTTTCTAATCACATCAGACACAATCTCGAATAATTGTAATAGTTCCTCCTTATTATAAATGTTCTCTATTATTCTGATTATTCTTTTTATTGTTTTCGCTCAGGTTATTGTGTGTCCCGCAACCTTCTCACGATGACACCATAATCATTGTCCTAATGTGACGCTTTCCCTCACTACACTAACACATTTCTGCACAAACTTAATGCGTGAGTCGAGTTCATGCGCTTACACGAATGCACTGGCATAATCGAGTCACATCTTGCACGTCGAATACGCACAGGTATTATCTATCCGTTGAAGGTTCTGCCGTGGCTGGCGCGTAGTATTAGTTTCTTAGGCAAAACTGATTCAAAGTTTAGGTAGTTTGACACAAAGATTGTCCGATCAGTAGAGGTGGGAATTTCATTGTTCCGAGAATGTCAGCTTCTTGGGACACAGTGCATGTTGTTTTACTGCGAGATGTGGAGGTGTTCCTCCTTTGCCAGAACCCGATACATTGCGGGTTTCCTCCTCAAGGTATCTGCCAACAGCGTGGCACTGCTCTATCTTGCACAAGATCTAGGCTCCCGACTGGCCTCCCGAAACATGTGGAAGTGCATGCAAGTGTGTAAGAAGGAGATGAGGATAGGAAAAGGAAAAAGGAAAGAACTGTGGCCCATTTCTTAGAATACTGCTCCGGCATTTGCCTGGTAATGATGGGAGAAATCACGGAAACTCCCGATCAGAGCAATCGACCTCTAGAATTCTCCAGACATCATCCGACCACCACTATAAAGACCGAATAGACGTTTTCGCATCAAAACTTCACAATTCCGCTTTACTGGAATTGCACAATGAATGAATTCCTTTCTACAGTGTTTGTGATTGTATTTTGTGGTTGTTGCGCAGCGCGTTGGGCAGCCTGGCAGGGCAGGTGGTGCCGGGAGGAATTCTACAGCAGCTACAGGGCGTCGCAGGACTCTTCGGCCAGGGGACCACCCCGTCCCCTCTCTACACGCAGTATCCACAGTACCCACAGGGCGGCAGCGGCAGTGGCGGCGGCCACGGCCAGTACTACCCAGGTGAGCAACGCGCAGCGCCGCTGCGTGCTTTTAATACGTCATCACAGGTCGCGCTTAAACTGGTGTCGTATTGGGGCGATTCTTAACCGAACGGCCAGTCCGGTGGTCTATCTTTAGAAACCAGACATGAATTTCCGGTTACTTCTCAGGCAAATTAGATATACTAGCTCTCCAGTGTAAGTTTTTCCCAAGTAATGCGATTTTTACCCCCTTTGTTGCCTCACTTTAACAATTTATAATAATATTCCGTTGTCCAACAAATTATTACAATGTCGATGAATATTGTAAAATTTACTTAATTTTGGGAGTAATTAAATGATTTGAAACATGAAAAAGTACGTCATGACTTAGATTTAGATTTATTTAGTCAAAAAACTGTATGTGACGTATAGGGAGATGATCATCTGCGCACGTTTTCTTGGGTTCCAGAATCGCTTCCCATCATTTTAACTATAAATAGTTGAAAGAAGAGTAAAAGTTTAAAATAAATAAATAAAAATAAATTTAAAAAACGTGAGATTAGCAATATTTGGAAAAAATAAATATTTTTGTTTCCGAGTTATAGAAAACGTATTTGCATCGATAAGCGAATTGCAAGTACAATTTTGCAAGTACTGCATTGCTAACAAAAAAATGACTCACCCTTACCTTTACTCCTACCATTACAAGCAAAAGGTGAGTTCAACAAAATGTGCGCATAGTGAAGCTACATTTACGTCAAGAAGCAAGAAGAAGGGGCCGCTTCAGCATTTGTTCAATGGAACAGGGAAAGTGGACAAAAACCTGATCGAGATGGGGTTCGACATGTTCTCCACATGTCTCTCTTACCCCCAAGTATGGGATTTAATCTAGACCCGGGCATGGTAGACACCGTTAGCTGGCCGGCAAAGTTGTACAATCGACCCATAGTGCCAAATACGTACAAACATGACAAAGGAATTATTAATTTGGAATTTTCAAATATTTTCTTCCTTTGTTTAAGTCCTAAATTTCAACATTATAATCTTGTAGCTATACTTATTCTTTCACTCTACTTACCTCTCACTGCTTAAGACACCTGTAGTATACGCGCAGTTTTTCTTGGTATTCCACAGGGAGGGGTGCGGGGAGAGGAGAGCTCTTATTACGTCACGGCTTAAAAGGGCGTACCAACTGTGGACACGAACCTAACTCGCCAAAGCGTGCCACGAGAAATGCTACGATTGTTTTGAAAGTACGAGGTAGTTGTTACCAGCATTGTAAATTGGTACGTGCCGTTCCAAGTCGAACCTATGTATCTCAAAGTATCGTGCTATTAGCGCTGTATGAGGGCTAGGGTGTCCGTGTATCAAGACAACTTGCGCGAGTTCGTAAAAATTGCGGGCGACAATGAGTACGCACATGGAACTGAGGCACGCACACCACCCGTGACTTTCGCTTGTTAGCGTAGGTGGTAGGTGTGAAGGCGTTCCATCGAAAGTGACAGTACCACTCTATGGTGTGATTTATCACTTTTCCGATTTTCTAATTCTACCTGATGGTACTGCGCGAGAAGAAAAACATAATTTAAAACTTTTTCGTTTATCAAGAAATGAGTAAAGCATGTGAAAGGTAAAAAGCTTTGAATGTCGATGTTTTCGGTGAAAATATTTGTGATGAATTCTACCTTTATTTAACCTTTCTGCAGATACTTTTTTATGTACCAGTGCATAAGACGTCAATTGCCAATATATTTTCGGGTATTCAATCTTGACGTACGATATACGATTCTCTATTTAATAAATATCTTAACGGTATTTTAATTACATTATCTTAGAATAATACGTATATTTTTGGGGGAGAGAACAGGTATATTTCTATCAGCAGTTTTCTTTTTCTTTTCTCTTCATCATCTTCGTTACCTTTTTTACCGCCTTCTTTTTCTTTCCCTACTCTTCCCTAGTCTTTCGTTCTTCCTCCTCCACTTCCTGATGTTTTTCATCGTCGTCATTGATCTCCTCCTTTTCTTCTTATTTTTCTTCATTTATTTCCCCTTCATTTATTATTAACCGCCTCAGTTTTTTCATCATTCATCATTATCTTGTACTTATTTGTTTCAATGGCGTCCATCCTTTCCTCTCTCCTCTTTGTATAATTACAGAACTCTGACTCGTAAGTAGAGACCGAGACTTTTATTCATTCATACATTGAACCGTCAAGACATTTTAAGAAATATTATTTACTTAAAATATGAAGTATGAAGAAAAAAACAAACTTTCCTGACATGTTTATGTCATTGTAACACGAGGTACGTAAGACATTCTAGGCGATGTTTGACCACATAGCTACAATACGCGTGGAACAAACAATGAACTGTGGGTCACCCGTTGCTCTTGCTCTATGCCGAAACGCTGGGAAATCTTCGTCAGCTTAGGTGGCTGAGGGATGTTACCGCAGTGCAACTGTCACTGCAGTGCCTCTCATCGGAAAATTCTAGGGTTCGAGTCCCGACGGTGGTAGGTTTTCCGACACTAGCTAGTAGGTGGGGCAAATTCAGCTGCTGTCTGGAGGAGAATTCTAGCAGCCGGCTGCTCTGATCGGTAGTTTTCACTTCTTTCTCCGATCAACAACAGTAGAATGCCGGTCAGTACCCTAACAAACGGGCTACGAATCGCGCGTGATCTTTCCTTCCTCTTTCTTGTCCTTTCCTTACCCCTTAATCACATACACACTTACAGACACTACACTATCACATATATCTGGAGACCAGTCGTGCGTTTAGAGATGTCCTGCTGGCGGGGATACCTGGTTGTGGAAAACCCCGCAAGCTGTCAGGTAGGTCGGCACCGGATTTCACCATCCACCAGAGGAAGATCCACCATCCCACCCAATAAAAAAAAACATGCACCACACAAACAAACCTAATGACCATAGTAGGTGACGGGCATGGAATCACTAACTCCGTGTTCGCTCCTCGCGCAGCGGCGTCGCCGAGCGGCGTGCGCGAGGCGCTGGAGACGCTGGTGCGGAGCGACACCCGGCGCTGCGTGCCGCGCCTCGTGTGCGAGATGGCGGCCGGCGCGGTGCCCTTCGACGCACTGGGCGCCCTCGGCGACTTGGACGGCTTCGGCGCCTTCCGCGCACTCGCACACGCCCCCGCGCACGCCGCGGCCCGCCAGGAGGTGCTCATGGGCGCTGACGCCATCACCGGGTGAGCCTCCTCATACAAGTAAAATAAGATAAATATAATAAATAGACATAATAGATGTAATAAATAGATATTATAGATTAATAAATAGATATTATAGATGTAATAAATAGATATAATGGATGTAATAAATAGATAAAATAGATGTAATAAATAGATATAATAAATACAGTGTGTAAATAAATGAATAAATGCACGATAAATTTATGAATTTCATAAAAAAATGTCGAAGTTTTAAAAAATATGCATATTATATTGTATTGGGCTGAAAATGTGTAGAGCTATTTACATTACTTCTCAGTTGTTTTGTTTCATTTTCTTGTTTTTTTCGGGGAGGGTATATTTTCTTCTGTGAATTAATGGCTGAGGTCATGCGTCGCTTGCTCTTTTTGAACCTTAAGATATAGAACGTAGTTTCCACTAATAAGCACGTGTGTGTAACGTTATCAGGCTACTCCCCCATTGACTTTTTTTTCATTTGACTTCCGTGTGCACCTCAGCATAGCGCTTCATTAAAGGACGATTCCACGAATGATTGTTAACATACTGACGAGTTATTAGGATATGACCGGTTCATTGGGGAAAAATCGGGTTTTGCTAAATTTCCGTTAGTATAACGGGCGATCTCAGCTCTGTTAGTAACAGCAACGCATGGTTAGGCAACGTTGAAACTCCGAACGTATGAAAAAATGAAGAAAAATCTACTTTAAAGACTTAAATGTATTACATTCTATTGCAGATTCGCATCTTATAGTACAATCTCACAAATTCTATTCGACATTTTTATTTGTTAGCTTTTTTCAATTTTTCTATTCGGATAGCTCGATATCTAATAATCCAAAACTTGTTTCTCTTACGTTTTATCAACTGGGAACAGCCAAGCTTCATTTCTTAACAAATTTGCGATAAATAATATCATTATATTATAAACGTTCTCTTCGCAGTTCATAAAAAATAGTAATATTGCATTACTTTATAATGCAATGTAAGATATGCTAATTTATATAAACATTAACTGGCAGTACTTTAGTATTTAAAATCCATTGAAAGTTATTATTTGTTAAGTTTTGTGTTTTACTATTTTTAAAAGAAATATGAATAACCTCAACAAAGACTTCACTATAACAACTCGTTTACTGAAGTTTCGTTAACGTAATGTTGGTGAAACCGTCCGTTAGTCTTCTGTCAACTTTGCAGAACTGAATTAACGGAATGGACTGTGCTCGAGAGTTAGCGTCCTCTAACGTAGATATGAAGAACTACTACTTCTTTCTCTTCTACGATTTTTCGCTTCTGCTCAGCACTTCAGTACACTATTGTTATTTGTACACTATTTAAACATTCTCTTGTAACAAGAAATGACAATCAACGTGTTTAAAAGGAAATTAAGTTTTGTTGAAAGCGGAATGAAGAAATTTACAAAATACGCCGTTGTTATAAACTGAGAAACGTGAGGCTCATACTACAAAGCGAACAAATTGGACTAAGGCAATTTTTTTTCAGTATAAGAAATATCTTTGACGATTTCTTTGTTTCACATAGTGTGAACTTGTGAAATTTCAACATGATTGCAAAAAACTGATACGGTTGAGTAATGTACTATTCTCTTTAAGTTGCGATTCCCTCGCGCTATAATGATTTAATCTTGTAGTCATGTAGTAACAAAGGAACTGCATGATCGTTACCTTGTGCAAAATGTGGAACTAACATGTGTACCGGACAGGAGGAATTACTATATCTTCTGAATGAAATAAGGCAAGAAACTATCACGTGTATGATCGTTCGCAAGATTGCATCTCGAAATACCTGTAACATGAATGGGAGGTGTAGAAAGCTCAAGAAAACTTGCGACGACCG